TTCAGCTGCGGCGTCTCAGTATACCGCAAGCTACAGCTCGCGGTATACTGAGCATAAGGTGACGGGAGGACGCTAGCTTGTGTCCTCCCGTTACCCTAAGGAGAACTATGGGGAAAAGCCTTAACCACATTGTTCTCCTTTAAGAGCGCTGATACCTTTGGTCAGGATTTTATTATTGTTGCAAAAAGGAGGTCAACTGTAAGTAGCTATTTTACAAATTGGTATTTTTTCAGACCATGGTAAATTTTTATGACCGGTTTCTTTTAAAGCAAACATTGCACTTAAATACTAAGATCTGCTTATGTGTCAGCCTCCCACCCAGTTAAAAAAAAAAAAAAGATGGATTACAGCAATAAAAATAAATATAAGCATGAACAATACTCACCATAAGCTGGCCGTACACTGTTTGAATGTCAGCTGAATCGGCCACAAATTTGAGCGGCGAGTGGCCCTATGGACAACCCCCTCGCTTGACAAAAGTTGATTGAAAAAAATAAAAAAAAAATCGACTTTTGTAGAAGGAGCAGGCCGAAAACTTCTCACGAACGCTGCCTCCATGCAAACTGATGCACGTGCTGTTGAGGTATTCAGCAACCTCTAGAGCAGTGGCTGTTGATTACAAAAGATGACAACAGCGATTCCTCCATCGGGAATTGATGGATTTTGACATTCGAATCCTCTATAGCCGGCTCTGCTCCTTGACTCCAGCCACATACATCACAGGAACTGAGCCCTGGTTCACACCTAGGCGTATTGCATATGCGCGTCTTTCGCAAGGTTTTTTAAGCGCGATTCGCGGTAAAAAAAATTTCGCAACAAACGCGTATTTCCAAGGGCTACTTGGCTGTATCCCAATGGAAACGGGCAACAAAAACGGCCCAAAGTAGTACATGTACCTTTTCAGGCGTGGGCCGTTTTGTAGCGCGTTAGGGACGGGCTGAAATACGCCAAGGTGGGAACCAGACCCATTGAATGCAATGGGATTTAGATGTTTGAGCGTTTTGTAGAGCGTTCGTCGAGCGTAGAACGCGCTACAAAACGTTCAGGTGTGAACGAGGGCTTACAGCGGGATGCCGAGAATGCTCAGGATACCATTTCTCCAGTACTATGCAGGAGCAGATTCCTGCAGGGTTCGGGATCCTCAGCTTTCTCACAAGAAGATGTAGTGCTGTCTCCTTCTCCTAGGCCAGATCTCTGGAAGTCCTTGAGTGAGACAAGTGCTCTACTTCACCAGGAAGGATGCACTTGGTGTTCAGGAGAGGCCATGCCATTACAGGCCATGCCATTACAGACATTTTCAATATCAATCCAAGAGATGGAAAGCCAAAACTGCTACTTTGCTTAGGGCCCCATTCTGCCTTAGTCCTTCTCTGATTGGCGAGCCAGATGGCACCATTATCGGTTATAAGCTTACATGTGTCCGGAGTGGAGTATTAAACGAGCTGTCAGCACAAAAAAACTCCCCTGCATTAGTCCCTCCATGTCTCTTTAAAATAAATACACACCTACAAGATTTACAATGGTTGCCATTTGCACAATCGTATGCTTCCCCCGCGCCAGCCCCGGGCATTACAGGGGGGCACGTTCTCCACTTCCTGGAGACGGACTACTTGCCATGGGTGCTCTGGGTGTTCCCAGACAAATATGGCAACCTATGCTATAGAACTGGAAATAAAGCACCGGTGCTCAAATCCAAACAGCTTGAAGCAGGACGTGCAAAAATTAACCCTTGCAGTGGGGCTACCCCTGCACTGGAAGGGATAACTGCACGTTTTGGTCTAAGAGCAGGAATAAAGAAAACATACTCAACCAATCCTCGGTCCTGCAGCAGTCAGCGCTCACTTCTCTCCCCCTCCGCTCCAGCTGTGTCCCTCGGCATCATCGCGTCTAATGCAAGTGAATGGATTTGCATTAGATGTGATGACGTCACAAGTCCTTAAGAGGCTGCGGGGATCGGTCGAGCAGCCAGGCGGGATTGAGGATCAGGTAACTATGCCTTTTTTTGCATTCCCTAGACCAAAACAAGCAGATAACCCTTGCATCTCAAGGTAACCCCACTGCATGGGTTCATTTGTGCACATCCTGGCAGAGTTCTGCTTTAAGCTGCCTCCTATCCTGTCTTTCTGCATATTTTATACCAAAGCCAAAAGGTTTTTTTTGCCCAAAGCAGCACCATGTTTACAAACATAGAAAAGGAAATAAACACCAAACAGCTGCCATGGGCGCCCTCACTGCTGTTCTGTTATAATAGTATTACAACATTAAAGTGTACATAAAGGCAAAACTTTTTTTAGTCTTTGAGAAAGTGGGGGAAGGGTGAGACCTTCTGTCAAGATTTTATTGCTGTCTGTGTTTTCATTGGGAAGACTCACCCCTCTATTTGTCCTGGTGATCACTGTCACCGAAGCACAAAATAAGAAATACAAAAATCAAGAGTTGTCATCAGAGCAAGAGGTGGGTCCAGTCTTCCAATGGGGACATCTTCTTTTGTGACAACTGTATAAAAGTGGGGTTCCTGTCACTCTCAGGGCCGGTTCACACCACAAACACAAGCGGTCAGCCTCTGGAACGCACTGTATAGCAACCCAGCCGGCTCCCTGAGGCGGGAGTGGGCGTGGCATTGAAGTCAATGGCCCCAACCCGCAGAGCGATCGCCCACACCCAAACACGTGGAACATTAGTGCCCGCGTTCTGGTCTAGCGCAATCTGCAAAATTGTTGCAAGCACTATTTTTGCAGATGTGCCACTTGTTCGGGCGATCGCATGGCGGGCAGGGGGCGTGGCTGCAATGCCACCGAGTTCAATGCCACACCCCCTCAAACCTCTGAAAGCAGGGAGGCTGCCAGGTTGCAGTGCGTTCCAGAGGCTGGCCGCTCTGGAAAGCACCATTTGTGGTGTGAATCGGCCCTTCTGGTAGATTTCCTCACTTCCTTTTGTGTCTACAGGATAGGAAATAAAGGGAAATCTCCCTAAATGACAAAGACGGCTAAAAGCCTTCCCTACTTTATTCAAAACTAATAACACGTGAATGTCATTTAAAAAGTAACTTACACGCTTTTAAAATCTGCAGCCTTTGTTAAAAAGAATACCTGGAGACACTGCCATAAGGACCCTTGTTCGGGCACTTCCTGTGTTATGGGGTGACCATGATCTGTACCTATCTTCCAAATGTGCTCCTGTGTTGTCGCTATGTCACATGATTAAAGTGACACTAAACTCAGGAATTAAATCACAAAAATACATTCAAGAACCTTATTAACAAAAATGTATCTTATTTGTGTAGCACTGGGTTGTAGATCCTCAAATCATCTCTGAATTGGTGCTGACACTGTCCTTCCTTCTGGAGGGGGGCTACTTTTGTTCCTCATGGTCCCTGTGTGTTGTAAAGTAGCCACCACTCCAAGCTTAATCCTGTGATGGACTACAATCTCATGTTTTGTTTACCTATATGTATTGAGACTGTAGTCCATCACAGGAGTGAGCTTGGAGCGGTGGCTACTTTACAACACACACAGGGACCATGAGGAACAAAAGTAGCACCCCTCCAGAAGGAAGGACAGTGTCAGCACCAATTCAGAGATGATTTGAGGATCTACAGCCGAGTGATACACAAATAAGATACATTTTTGTTAATAGTTAAAGGTACTTGAATGCATTTTTAAGATGAATTGCGTTGCTTTAACATTACAAACATCTGTGCCGACACATAATAGGCAGACATGGCCTACTGTTGTCATTATCAGGAAGGCAGTAAAGAGCATTGATCCAGCTAATGCTGGAGCGCGGCATGTAAACAAGATTTCAGGACAATAAATGTCACGTAGGAATAGTTTATATCTACTTGATCAAACACAGTCACTGCCATGGTGGACTCTAACATAGAGCAATGTGAACACTTCTGGCAGTAGTTAGGCCTCATTCACACTGGCAAATATACGTTTATAGGTCCCTGTTCACAGCTTCACAGTTTTAACACGTGCGCACGTTTTTAGCCGTGTACAGAGAAAGTAGAATTCTCTGCGTCCAGGGTCTGATCAGAAATGTTAAGGGTCCGTTAGATTGCAGAGAATGGTGTGCCCGGTGAAGGCTGCAAAACCAGTGCGCTGGAAATAGCGCATCACTCTATAATTTTTTTTTTTTGTCAGAACTTTATTAGGATGTCCTACAGTGACATTGCATCCAGTACTATTGGCCTCAGCGTGGTAGGATGCAGTGGACTGCATTGCACCATGCTGTGCTGAAAACAAAGTACTACATGCAAGCACCACCGCGGTGTGAACAGTGCCAATTGTAAACAAAGCCTTGTGTTTACGTTGCAACAACACTGGCCAAAGCAATGCGAAGGCAGGGTACTGCAAAACGCAGGAAAACTTCACCTGGGACATGTAAAGTTTGTCCGGAGTTCCCAGATAACGCCTCTTGCATTTAAATAACGCTGCAGGGTGAATATAGCCTTAGGGTCAGCGTACACATGACAATCTGACCGCACAATCAACTTTAGATTTACCAGAAATATGTAATATGAGGACCTAGCTCAATTATCCAATCAATTTGTATCTGATCAGGCAGGCCCTTGTATTACATAGCTGCTGGTAGTTCTTAAGGAGATTGTACAATCAGATTGCAGTGTGTGTGGTCGCTTTAGGGATACATCATACCTTTAAATGGGACCACTCTGGCAGTATAATGATCAGATTGGGACAGAAAGGATTCCCTAGTGGCAGATCTCCATAGGCAGCTCCTCATTATTAACCCCACTCTTAGGCCCCTCTTAGGTTGCTTTGCACTGGCAGGTCTCTGTGTTGCTGTGTACTTCCAGGCCTCTGTGTTGCTGCTCCAGCAGCCCAGCGTGTGTCTGCAGTGAATTGCCCCTAGGCCTCTGTGTACAACGTTCTCTGGCTCAGGCCTCAGCCCCCGTGTACTCCAGCGGCCTCCCTCTCTCGCCACAGACCCTGCACCCCACCACACAGGCCGCACCCTAGGCCTCCCATGTGCCTTACCTTCCCGGGGTCAGGCGCCGCTCACCCCGCCGCTCCCCGATCTCATGTCTCCCTTCTAACGAAACCAGCAGCGCTAGAGAATAGAGGCGACAATATCCGCCTACATCCGCCCCAGCACTGAACAGCTCCGGAAAAGCCCGGGCAGCCATCTTTGCTGAGGGCAGGTGCCCGGCGCTCCCATGTTCAACAAAGGGAATGTGAGGTGAAGCCAACACTATATATCCTTCACTGTAAAAAAAACAGCAGTGCGATGAAAATTAAATAGTAGGCTGCAGTATTTGGATGCAAAACATTAATTAAAAAAACATTAGGTCCATATTTTGTAGGTTTTCCCTTTCAGAAATAGGAATCTTCGATTTTGGATGGGACAGCAAAAACCTGGCAGAGGGTGGAATCACACCTTGCAATTTTGCTTCATGCGTTTTCCATCGCTCATTGACGATCAACACAAAGGGTGACAATGCACATTAACATGGATTGCAATTGAAAATGCACCAGAGGAAAAAACGCATTTGGTGATGGGCCATTCAGACTGGTGTGTTACTGCATGCACATAAAGCGTGTGGTATTTTGCATGTTCACATGCAATTCGTTAAAGCAGTCCTTAACAATTTTGAAAGGGCTGCCGAATCACCACAATGCCGGCTTTAACTAATCTGCAGCATTTTTTTTTAATGCAACACACAGATGTTTTATGTCTGCGAACTGTGGTCTGCTGGCAAGGTGCATTGAGATGCTGCACAAACAAATGGCAGCACATTGCACTGCAGTTGCTTTTGCGCATATGGTTACCGCAATGCACAGGTATAAATAGAGCAGAGGTAGGCAACCTTGGCACTCCAGTTGCAACTGCAAGTCCCATGAAGCATTGCAAGACCCTAACAGCCACAGACATGACTGCTAGAGGCAGAGGCATGATGGGATTCTACTCTCAGCTCACACACAGTCGTTGGAGAAATTTCTATGATTTCTACAAGTCTAACAATTAATTTTGGCTTCCTGTAGAGCCGTGACACATAGAGGACGGCAGTGTGAATGGAGTCTTCAGCTGTAGACACACAAATTTGCCAGCTGCTGCAGTGTGCACATTAAAGCATAATTTGCACTTCAAGGGCCCAATAGCGGAGAGCAGAGTTTTTCCTGCACCCAAAAAATAAAGGGCTCCACTAGGGCACATAGAAAACAATTAATTTCAATGTGCTCTGCTCACATCGCAATGCGTGTGTGATGGGTGGCATGCTGCAAAAAAAAAAATGTACACAAGCTGCATTTTTTTTTACAGCGCACTGGATTTCACCGCACAGAAGTGCAGTGCACTGTGCTGCTGTTTGGGGATCTGAATGGAGTGTACACATTGCTGATTACACGCTACCATTAAAGTAAAAAAAAAGATAAAAATGTGACAGCTCTAGCCGTGTGCAATACAACGCACACTGCCAGAGCTGCTACAATGCGCCAGACCATACACTAAATCGCAGCATTTTAGCGGACGGGCTAGAGTGAACGGGCCCTATGACAATACACTTATCCTCTTTGCCCTGAGTTAAAGCAACCTGCTCTCCCCCTCCACAGATGCATACTTACTTGGAATCAGGGGCGTAACTAGAAATCACAGGGCACCAAAGCAAAATTTTCGTGCAGCGGCCCACGGTGGCATCCAGTCGCTGCAAATAAACCCGCCTTGTAGTGTGAATGGGACACATAGAAAACAATTGTTACCTGCAATCTAACACCACTCTATTTTTGTCATTATCGAAGATTTCCCATCAGTTTGTGTCTCTGTCACATCCTACAATGAGGAAAGGAGGGCTTCCTCAATGAGAGAAGTCTTCCTAATGGGGACAAAGACAACAATAAAAAAAACAGTGTCTATCCTGTCCTTACTATTCTATCCTCACTATTCATCTACACCTTTACATCCTTATCCATGGCCTGGCCACCTCTTCTTTACAAGCACGCTTCCTCCATACTGATCCCTGACTGCCTTTTCTCCTAATGGTTATATGAGTTACGAGGAATAGGTGTGTATTGGTAAAAACGCGCGATGCGAACCGCGCGACAAACGCGCATATTCAATCCGCCTAGGTGTGAACGCAGCCTAAGAACTTGGGCAACTGTTGGTGGGCGTACCCACTCGGGCCAGGATATGGGCGGCCGGTGGCTGGTACAGTAAACAATGGGTCATGGTACACCCCCCGTAAGCGGTGAGTGGTGTTTTTTGGCACTCGTCAGGGACCGAAGCATTTTGTTCTGGCTACATAATATGTTAATATGTTCTGCTATTTATGTTTACATCGCTGTGGCCATTCAACTTTCCAATAAAATGTTATTACTTTACGTTTTTGTTGAAATTACTGTGTTCAGTATGTTATTTCGGTGGGAAGTGAGGGTTACTTGGCCTTGCAGTCAGTCATGTAATTGTCACAGTAATTCTTCAATGATCCTCACATGAAAAGGTGTTTCTAACATATGCTTGCATGCCTTGAATGGAAGTCTGGTATGCCCCAAGGGCTGGGCACAGCTGTGTTTGTGTGTAAAATGTGGCGATTGGTACGGCCCACGTTGTGTTTATTAGCAGCACACCTGTGTCTGTGTAGAATGCATTACTATCAGTGCATGTGCCTTTGTCAGCTGCTCCTGTTTCCTGTTGTGTGTGGCTGCCCGCAGTGTGTTTCCACTCTCCCAGCCAGGAAATGTTTACTCTGTAGTGTTTTCCCTCCGTCATTCACATCGTGTGTGAGAAACATTTATAGCCGTTTATCGCAGGTGATAAGAGGATCACACATACCGACTAACACAGTGCATGGTCATACACACAAGGTCCGTTCTCATGGCTATTTGTTACCATGTAATCTAAAATAAGCAACAGCTTTCATCTAAAATAAGTAACTTGTTTAAAACAGACAACATATGCTAGTGCCAGTTGTGGAACAGCAAAAATGGATTCCCTGTTTACCAGTAATTCAACAGCAGATTAGGAGTAGCTGGACAGCAGTAATGTGCGGGGGCTTGGTGCAAAAACTGTGACTAACACACCCCAACTCCCAGCCCAATAAGTTCCAGCAAGGGCATTTCCTGACCTGCAGGTACATGTCACAAAGGAGCAGGGAATGCAACTTCCGCAACTGATTGGCCCAGTCATTGTTTTGCGCAGGCTTGGGTGAACACAGGTGAACTAGGTTCGCACCAAGCCCCTGCACATCACTGCTGTACGGCAGTGATCCACTGTGGCCCCCTTCACATGGCCGTTCTGTCAGTACGTTTTTGACCTGGGATCGCACAGAAAATAAAAGACAGTCTGCAATACGTTCCAATGGACAGCCGGATGTAATTGGATGTGTGTCAGTCCACTTCCTGGTCGATTTAGGTTGGTCGGACCACACGCAAAACATTTTGAATTCAGGTCTGCTTTAACTGACCCGACCAGATGTGGGCAGATATAGGCAGACATCTGGCCATTAATTGGGATTACATGGGTCTATTTTTGCTCCATCCCAAGATGTCTCATGTTTGACCTCTGTCTCCATTCTGATGTGATTCAGCAGGGAATCTGACCACTCATTCTAATTACATGGGTCCATTTTTGCTCCACCCCAAGATGGAGGAAAAATTGGAATGGACATGGTTGCAGGTTCTGCCCTTTTTGTGCCCCACTCCTGCTGAAGCAGACACGGTGGCTGCCTCTTCTGCCTACCCCTTTGCCTGGCGCTGGTGGTTGGAAACTACTACAGGAGACAGTCAGAGCCTGGGGACTTGTTTATGTCCCCTACAGTCCCTTTAAGCTTTACGCATGTCACATTTGATATTCCTCACAGCAAGATCCCTTATAAAAGTTCTGGGAACATAATATTCCCGCAGCTCCAAGATTAACACAATAAGCGGCAGCGCTGAAGAGTTACATGACGTCCTCGTGTAATGCCTTACAGAGCTGCACTCAGACTTGGCATGGGGGGGTGGGGGTTTTAAGCATTTGGGCTCATTCACACTTAAAGCACTAACTGGCATTTTTCCACACCAGACCAACGCCAGTCACCACTACGGCACACTTTTTATTTATTTCTGATGTTCTCCTTAAGCCTATTGTCACTGGATACAGAGAAATAGCCATCATTTGTGTTAATGTGGCAGCATCTGTGCATATTGTGCTTGCCCAGTAAAGGAATCAGTGCCTACCAATGGGCAAATACAGATTGGATGCTGCATAGACTGTATAGGTAAGTGCAGTACAAAGACATGCCCAATGAATTCAGCTCAGTATACTCTTTCCCACCAAACATTTGGAAAGAGCTTGCTGACCACCCCCTTTAAACCAGGTCTGTGTGAACAGACCCTGGGATGTGTACTCTTTTTTTTAATTTAAAATAAGTAACTTTGGCTAAAATGGACTTCTTTTCCTAAGAATGGAAATTGAAAAGCATTAGTAACTTACAAACCCAATTGAAGTATACCTAAAGTTAAAACCTTTTTTTTTCATTTTGGTTGAGAACGAGTTGAACCCCGGGATTTTTATCTTTGGCAAGATTTCTCCCTGCTTCCTGTTATGTCTCTCTAACAGAAAGTGAATTGAAATATCTCCAATGAGACACAGACATCCTACAAACTATAGGTAGATGTATTGAAGTGCCACACCAGTTAAAGTAGTCCAGGTACAGATATTTTATTAGGGTCAGTAGAGTAACCAATACTTTTTGAGGGTCCAAAACAAACCCCCTTATCCGGGCTTGATGAGAGAAATGATGTATGTGATTTTGGCTGCCAAAGCCTGAAGTACTCACATCACAGGTCAATACAACTTTCAAGTGCAGTGATTGTAGTCTACATACATGATTACTCTTTTTAAGCCCTGATGAAGGGGGTCTGTTATGGACTCCCAAAACACGTCATCTACTCTACTTGAATATCCCCCTGACCCTAATGAAATAAAGTTGTATCTGGACTATTTTAATTGGTGTGGCGCTTCAATTCCTACATCTATTGTGTTCACAGTTGAGCCAATAATGCTGTGGATATCCTTTAGTTTGCTGACGCTGCCTATCCATCAGCCAGATCACCTATATTTACATCACTTAGCTACTGCTAGATGAGAAACCCCAACAGAATGACCCTCACGGGC